CTAGGCCTGTGTTTCCCAGACCAGCTTTATGATAAAAAATCACCCGGGATGATTGTTAACTGTACAAGTTCTTTTCCCTGGCAATTCCCAATTAGTAGATCTGGCCTGGGGCCTAGGGATCTGCTTGTGGCCTGTGTTTCCCAGACCAGCTTTATGATAAAAAATCACCCGGGACGATTGTTAACTGTACCAGTTCTTTTCCCTGGCAATTCCCAATTAGTAGATCTGGCCTGGGGCCTAGGGATCTGCTTGTGAAAACAACAGCTCTCAGAGTTTATCTTCGGGCAGATCATTAGAATCACCAGAGAGCCTTTAAATGTAGCTCGCCAGGCTCCAACCCAGCCTACTGAATCAGAATCTCTGAGGGTGGAGCCTTAAATTCTGTTTTTTCAAAAAGCACACCAGGCAGTGTTGATGCCTTTGGAATAGTTCCGACCTCTCCTATTTCAGATAAGTTTCTTCCAGTGACTATCTACACTGTGTGTGTGTGGGTGTGTGGGTGTGTGATTTTGAAAATACAAGATATTGGGGTAGAAACTATGATACAAAGATAAGCAAGACAGTAGGTCACAACTGTTACTCAGGGAGTGTAGAGGAAGTAGAAGAAGTGACCCTAGAGATGTGTCAAAGGATCGGGTCATGACACCGGGAGGCAGGGAGGATCAAAGGAGCCTGAGGTGTGTTAGGATTTCAACAGGCGGAGGCGGCGGCAGGGCAGGAGGGACAAAGGGGAGCCACGCTCGAGGGCACGTGTGGGACGTCAGGTCGAGTGTCAGCCCGAGGCAAGTGTGCTCCGCGGGTCGGCAGAGGGGGCTGTTACAGTGTCCGGGCAGAGCAGAGATGGGTCAGAGTCGTGTTTCAAATAGGCCTGACTAAGGAGGACTACATGGTACGACTGATTTGAACGGACTCAGCTGTGACATTGCTTGCCTTGAACACCACACACTCCTTAGGGCCAAAAGGCTTGTGAACTATGACCTGCATGTCACCAGCCTTTGAAATCCCCAAAAGGGGTTTCAATGAAGCCACGAAATGCAGTGAGAGGCCTGTCAAAGTTGTTTCTTCCTTGTGCTGTAAAGATTAATATTCAAACTGTCTTTCTATCTCAGGCACTCAGGATGACTTAAACTGTCGAACTACTGTGACATTTCCTTACAGAGATGACAAGAGCCACAGAAAGCCCATGTTCTTCTCCAGCCCCCGTGTTTCAGACAACACTACGAAGGCCATGGATTGCTCAGGATTACAAGGCAAGAAGGGACGTGCAGGACGGGAGGGAACCAAGGTCGAGCGAGCGTCACCTATGCGCTCAGCACCGAGCTGATCAGGCAGCAGAAATGTCCCTGGGCTCTGAGTCAGGCATTTGAACCCCGGCTTGTGGAGCTGTTTGGGGGTTCAGCATTTGGGGCTGCTCATGCTGACAGCACCCATTCCAGGTTTGGGGTCCACCTGGCTGGTGCTGCCCCTCTGACCCTCCCTGAGGTGGGTGAAGTGAGGGGGAGGCTGGCAGACACCCTATAGAAGGCTCCCCTGAGGCTGCGGCTGAGTCGTTGACCTTCCTAAAGGAAATGGCCCTTCTTCTGCCGTGTCCCACAGGGCCTCTCCAAAGATGAGAGTGAGTCCCACTGGGCTGCGTGCTCTTGGCCGTGGGAGATCAGCTGTGGCCACGTCAAATTTAATGGGCGTGTATTTATCCATCACACATTATATGTAAGACCCCGTTATGGTTGGGATTTACTGGGGTACTGAAAGCAAGTCCCTTAAAAAGGTGAAAATTCATGTCCTTTTAATCTCCTGTTCCACAAGGAGCATGCTGTCCAAAGGCTCGTGGCCTCTGCCTGCGGTGGTAGAAATTACACTGTGTTTGAAGAGGGCCTAAAACTGTCTGGCAGCTTGCAGGCCTGTTTTTGTAACTGGCTGCTGTGTTGTTCCTTCATCAGCACAGTCAGGCTCTGGGGACGCTAAACCTAGAGGTGGGGTGGCCAGAGAGGGGCCAACTTGTCGCTGCCTCCTTGTCTGCATCCCTGACTTGAGTCTGCTCTGTGGGCTTCTCGGGAGCCACGCGTGACTGTGAAGAGAACACATAGTCCACCCTCATCAGCCCAGAGAAGGACGTTCTTTAAGTCTTAAATTCTGTAAAACAAGTTTACTTTGAAGATAGCTCATTTACTCTTCCTTTCTGATATCTAAATATTTTACATGTATTTTTTAAAAGATAAGGACTATTTTAGAAAACATAGTCAAAATATCACATTATATTTTAAAAGTGAACAGTAATCCCATATCACCATCAAATATACAATCAATAATTAGATTTTACCAATTGGAGTATATGTGGGTAAGTCTATTTTTTTTTATCAGCTTGTTTGTATAAATCAGGATTCTAACTTGGAACTTCTCTCTTCTCTCTCTTTTTTTTTTTGTCTTTTTTTTTTTTTTCCGTGTCCGGCAATGGATCGCAACCCTCAGTGTCGCCCCCGTACCGATCCCATCTCTGCCACTTTAACTTTGAGCAAGTTATTCTGCGTTTTGTTTCTCCTTCATCTGTAAAGCATGGGTGATAAGGCCCATCTCATCATCACTGAATCTTTATATGGCTGGCATGAGATAGCACGTGCTAAGTGCACATGGTGAGAGTTCAGCACGTAGTGCATGACTTCATCCCGCTCCTCTCCATGGCCATGCAAGACCTCCCACTCCCGCTGTGTGGCACAGCAGCTCCTTGTCTGCAGTGAGACTCCTGCTTCCATTTTTCCTCTCCTTAGTAACAGGGCTTAGGTTTTCTGTAGTGGTGTCCTTTGCTTTATGTAATAAAGGGACATTGGCAATGTTGACCATAATATTAACTCTTAGAAAATGCTTTTCTTTGTTTATATCCTTCACAAAATCAGAGCCTAATAGAGACAGTCATGGGTAGCTTCTAGAACCAATCTCCACACCTTCTCCTTTGTGTGAACCAGTAAGTGGACACATCAGGTCCCACAGCCTCAGAGATCTTCAAATTCATGGCCCAGTTCTGCATGAAATGCATGAGGGGCCTCTTTAATTACTTCTTTAAGTCTTAAATTCCGTAAAACAAGTTTACTTTGAAGATAGCTCATTTACTCTTCCTTTCTGATATCTAAATATTTTACATGTATTTTTAAAAAGATAAGGACTATTTTAGAAAACATAGTCAAAATATCACATTATATTTTAAAAGTGAACAGTAATCCCATATCACCATCAAATACACAATCAATAATTAGATTTCACCAATTGGAGTATATGTGGGTAAGTCTATTTTTTTTTATCAGCTTGTTTGTATAAATCAGGATTCATAGCAGTGCGCCACCAGGCCGGCCCTAAATCAGGATTCTAACAAGGTCTACACAGTGCAATTAGTGGATAGGCCCATTAAGTGTCTTTTAATATATATGTCCCACTTCCATTTCCTTTTTATTTTTTTCTTTGCAATTTATTGGAGGAACTAGATGATTTGTTCAGTTAAGTTCCCCACACCCTGGATTCTATTGTTTGCACCTCTGTCCCCTGTAGTTCCTACAGATTGGTAGTAGTCACATCCTGAGGCTTGATCAGGCCCAAGGTAGGTCACTGGGTAGGAACTTTATGTAGGCAATGGAGTGCACTTCTATCAGGAAGCATATAGCATCTGGCTGTCTATCTTTTTGTGGTGCTAGTAGCCATAATTCAGTTAGGGTTCCTAATTCACATCAAAATGGTGATATTCCAATTCCTTCATTCCTTCTTTACTTACTAGCTGGCATACCTTTGTAACAAGAAACTTCATTGACTTTCTCTATGGCCTGTTTTCCCTGGAAGGCAATCTATTGCAGTCCTTGTAAGATCTGAGAGGATCTGAATGACTGCAGCCTTTTCTTTTCTTTTTGGTCTGGCCTCAGGCCTGGGCATAGACCAGACTTGTTTTTGTTGCTATAATTTTCTCTCAGTGACAGCCACCACCAGAAGGACATGGCACTTTTTAGTCACAGTGTAGCTATGAAGTATTGAAAGCAAGTCAGAGAGATGTGGTCTTTGAGACAAAATAATTTGAAATCACTGGTAGACCAATCTGACATGCATAGTGGCCTCCTTTCTACTATAATGGCAAATCCCAGGAGATGCTAAACTTGGTGCTGAGTGCTGAAGAGGACTCCAGTTGGTCTTTAATTCCTGGGTCATCTCCTAATCTTCTAAAATCAGATAAAGAAGGGAACGTGACACCCATTTCTGATAAGTTTAATTATGACAATACATAAAAGTTCCCAAGTGAGAAGATGCTAGTTCCAGTGGCAGGTCAACCAGATGGTTATTCTGACTTCCTGCCGTCTGTTCCCTCTTGAGGTGAGGACACGTTCACCCTGGGTAACACGTAGGATTTTCTGATGTGCAGTTTTGAAATAGTGCAGATGGAGTGAAGATCAGAGGAGATTTAGACTGAACTCTTGAAGGAACCAGATATTATTTTATTCATTTGTGTATCTCCAATAGCACAGTGCTTGCACGGGGCAGCTGCCCAACAAATATTTCCTAGACTGTAGAATTGTCGGTACACGAGGGTACTTCAGAAAGTTTGTGGAGAAATAGAATTAAAAGATAATACAAATCTTCCCATGAAGTTTTTGAAATACCCTCTTATTTCCCTGATAGAAAGTAGAGGAGGGGAATCTGGTCCCTTGCTTTGTAACCCTATGCAACGTGAGACAGGGTTGGTTTTGCTGAACCTAATATTTGTGTTTCCTTCATATCACTTAAGAGATGACTCTTGAAAAACCCTCCCCCTCTCCCACCCACCAAAGGAATGGTTAATCTAGGAGTAGTTTTTCTTTTTGATCTAATCTCAAGTTTAAACTAAAAGCAATCTCTCCCTCCTCCCACATTCACACACCAACACTGAGATTTCAACATTGGACATAAAAATCACCACACAAGGAACCATTTCCACATGGGGAAGAGGAAAACATCCAGGACATACCATGACACGGCCCCAAATTGAAAACAAAGCAAAGTTTATTGCATGTGAAAAGGAGCCACATGGAAATTAAGTATAATGGTCAGGAACCATGAAGATATACATTTTGCATATCTTCTGTCCTGCTCTAGAAGGGGCTTGCTCACTCTTCACTCTCATGGACAACCATCTGGAACAAAGCAGGCACTTTTAGTCAAGTCAGATGGTAGAGACACATTTTCCCCACCCTTCTTCCAGCAAGCATCAGGGATTTGCAAGTATATTTCAGTAGGAAAAAGACAGTTTTTGGACCTTGAGAAAAAACATGATTACATACATGAAGTTACCCTATAGTCTGAGAAACTGGCTCTTAGAGAGAGAAAGCCCCGTTCACTGGGCAGCAACCGACCCCCATGTATAATGACTGGAGTCTGACGCTCAGCGGGCTCTCCAAGGGGCTTCCTCTCTAGTACCAGCAAGGGGTGCTTGAATGAGCTCAGTGGGACTCTGCTCATTCTTTTTCAGGATGGGTGGTGGTTTTTCATTGTGACCTGCAGACCTGGGTTCTAGCGGGGCTCAGCTAAGAGACTTTAAGAAAATCCCTCTCTTTCCAAGCCTGAGATACCCAAGCTCTAAAGTGAAGGGTTCTCTAAGGTTCCTTCCAGCTCAAAAGTTTCTATGGTTCTTGTGGGTCCTTCCCAGGTCAGCGACTTACCCTGCTGGAGGTGAAGTCCCGGGTCTTAGCGCGAAGCTTATTGACTTGAGATTCTGCAATATCAGCACGCTCCTCAGCTTCCTCGAGCTCATGCTGAGCTTTTCGGAATTTGGTGAGATGAGCATTGGCTTGTTCGTCCTAGAACCAAAGAGCCCAGGCAGGTTAGATCAGCGTGCACCTCTCTCAGAGCTCACTGTGGGAAATGGACCAGACTGTCGTTCTAACGCCACACGCTGATCTGACTTACAGCCTCCTCGGCCTGCCTCTTGTAAGACTTGACTTTCACTTGAAGTTTATCCACCAGATCCTGCAATCTCAGCACGTTCTTCCTGTCCTCTTCACTCTAAAAATGAGAAAATGGGAATATCGCTGGAAGGGAGGGGTCAGAGTTGTGTTTCCCTCATATCCTATCAAGAGATGACTCTTTTGAAAAATACTCCAGTTTTCTGGGACTAGAGCGTTTCTTTCTATATTTTAGTGGAGGATCCAGGGTGGCATTTCACCTTGCATAGAAAATGCCTATTGGATTTTCTTTTCCACTTACCTGGTAAGTTAGCTCCTTGACCCGCCGCTCATATTTCCTCAGGCCCTTGACAGACTCTGTATTCCTCTTCTGCTCCCCTTCGAGCTCAAACTCCAGCTCTCGGATCTGGGGGAGACAGTGGGGGAATTAGTCTGGGGCTGTTGCCTGATTGGGAGAGGCTGGAAAACCCAGCTGATGCAGGGGCTCTTCCTGCAGGTACCCGCGTCTCCAGTTTCTGGATCTGCTTCTTCCCGCCCTTCAGCGCCAGCTGCTCGGCCTCGTCCAGACGGTGCTGCAGGTCCTTCACCGTCTGCTCCAGGTTCTTCTTCATGCGCTCCAGGTGGGCGCTGGTGTCCTGCTCCTTCTTCAGCTCCTCAGCCATCATGGCGGCCTGAAAAGCAAATCACACTCAGTAAGATGCAAAGCTCAAGTGCATGGAGCTGTCAAAACCCAGATACCCCAGAGGACCAGAGACCATGCTGAAGAAAAAGGATAATAGGTAAGACAATAACGGAGCACACACTTCTACCACGGAACAGGACAAGAGCTATACCCAGTATATAAAATAACTTACGAAATGGAACCTTCAAGGACTGGATGGGAAAAGGTTTCTTCTCTTTCTTTTTTTCTTTTTTCTTTTTCCTTTTTTTTTGTCTTTTTTTATGACCAGCAACGGATCGCAACCCTCAGTGTCGCACCCGCACTGGACCGGGACCGGCAACGGGATCGCAACCCTCGGTGTTTTGCCCGCACCTCGCTCAGCCAGTGAGCGGGAACTGGTCTGTATGTGGGATCCGAACCCTCGGCGGGAGCGCCGCCGCGCTTCCCAAGCGGCGCACTATCCAGTGCGCCACCGGGCCAGCCCTTCTTCTCTTTCTTAAACTGGCCACCTTGGGACCCTCCCCCACCCCAAGGAAACTATTTTTTTTCACTATCACCGATATATATTTTCAAAGGAGCCTGAGACTTAGAGAAGATTGATGTGACATCCAGCATCACAGATTTGGGGATAGTGAGATTAAGGGAAGGCTTCTTGAGAATTAAAGTGGTACAAGAACATTCAGGAGAGCAAACTAGTTTCTAGGTGCTGTTCTCCCATCAGGCAGCAGGTGGTGCCATTGGAGCTGGGGAATGCAGGGAGAAGGCTCCAAGACCTAGGAAGGTTAGATGGTTGTAGAAGGGAGAAATGTGGTGATACTGACATCTGAGGGTCTCATTTTCATGTGTGGAGTAAGTCAGATGCTGAAGCAAAGAAGAGCACACCTCTCCACGGTCAGGATATAATCCATTCCTGTCTTTTTCTTTCCATGCCCCCTTTTAAGTGTGCAGGAGGGAACAGCTGAGCTTGAGGGAGCTCGGAGCAGTTTTGGAGCAGAATGTGTACTGTGTATGTCCTGGGGGAGTCCCTACCTGTCTAATGAGAACTATCTAGGGGTTAGGGGAGAAGAGGGGGCTTTACTGCAATCCAGTCCTGGTGCCAAACAGGAGCAGGAGGGGAAAGCCTTACATCTGTGATGGCCTTCTTTGCCTTCTCTTCAGCGTTCCTTGCATCCCTGCTGGCATCTTCCACCTCACTCTGCAGCTGCGTGAGGTCTGTCTCCAGCTTCTTCTTGGTGTGGATGAGGCTGGTGTTCTAGGGCATGGGGAGGGAATGTTAGCCAGGTGTGTCTCAGGCTGGAATCTCTTCTCTCTTTCTCCCCCTGCCTTCCCTCACCTGCGTGTGCAGCAACTGCACTCTCTCGTTGGCATCCAGGAGCTCCTGTTCAGCCAGTTTCCTGCTCCTCTCCGTCTGCTCCAGAGTGGCCCGCAGCTCTTCCACCTCGGCCTGCAGAAGGTTGGCTCTGCGCTCCACGATTGCCAGCTGCTCCTTCAGGTCCTCCTGGCCCCGGAGAGCATCATCCAGGTGCAGCTGGGTATCCTAGCCAGAGGAAAAGGAAAATTCTATTTGAAGTTGAGGCATTAGGACCACAAGCCTCATTTACATCTTTGAGTATTTGAGGAAGGGAGAGGTTCCCCACCAAGGAGCTCTCTCAAACCTTCAGCTGTCCTTGGACACTCCTGAGGTGTTTGAGGGTCTCAGCCGCCTGGCGGTTGGCATGGCTCAGCTGGATCTCCATCTCGTTCAGATCTCCCTCCATTTTCTTCTTGACGCGGATGGCCTCGTTCCTGCTGCGCACCTCGGCATCCAGGGCACCCTGCATTGTCTCCACCGTCCTCTGGTAGTTCCTCTTCAGCTGCTCAATCTCTTCCTCTTTCTCAGCTATCTTTCTATCAATTTCTGATTTCACTTGTGTCAGTTCAAGCTGGATTCGGAGGATCTTGGCTTCTTCATGCTCAAGAGCAGCCTGTAAAGAACAGAAACAAAACACATCATGTCAGTGATGGTACAGAGCCTGCTGCACCACCCTATGAGGTTAGAAAGCTTCAATGGAATATTGCTAAATCTAACTACTGCATTTAAAAGAAAATTCCTAATTTATCTTCAGTTTAGAAATAGAATCTGTTTCATTGCCATTTGGTTTTGATAATACTATCAAACAATAATAACATATTTAAATCATCATATTTCTTGAGAGTGTGAAAGCACTTTATAGATATTTTAAGTTCATTGAAGATTTTGTTAAATCTCATTTTTAGACCTATCTTCATGTGATGATTTTCTCCAATAAAGTTCAGATAATTCACAGGTATTATAATAAGAATTCAACCTCACAGTTATGCTATTTGATGGAAGGGAGTAGGTATGAGGATTGTGATTTTTAAAAGGCAAAAATTAAGACACAGAGTGGGGCCGGCTAACCCCCCAGACCAGAGCTGCACCATTACTGCATCTGTTCCTGCTCCTGACTGCCGAGCATTCGTGAGTAGGTATGAGGATTGTGATTTTTAAAAGGCAAAAATTAAGACACAGAGTGGGGCCGGCTAGCCCCCCAGACCAGAGCTGCACCATTACTGCATCTGTTCCTGCTCCTGACTGCCGAGCATTCGTGCTCACCTCTGCTTCCTCAAGAGCCAGCTGGATATCAGCCTTTTCCAGCTCGATCTGCTTTCTTGATTTCTCCAGTTCATGGATGGTTTTACCACTTTCAGCAATTTGTTCTGTGAGGTCTACTATCTCCTCTGCAAATAAATAAGTTTCAATTGCATTTAAACGCCTCTGCATGGGTTTCCAGGCACGCAAAACACCAACCCAATGCTTCTTAACTAGTTTATTGTAATTCTAAGGAGTCCTGTTTCCTAGAGATAAGATATTGTATACAGAGAGACTAAAAAATAACCCATTGGAGGGTGAGCACTTTCTGTGCTTGCATTAATGGATTCATGTGTAGGGATCTGAATAATAAAGGCACAACCACTCCAGTGCACTCTGGCAATAGAGTGTGAAGGGAGGAGATTTTGGATCCCTTCAGACTGTTTCGAATGGCTTACGCTCTAAGTTCTTATTTTCCCGTTTTACGGTTTCAAGTTGATCTAAGGCTTCTTCGTAGGCATTTTTCAGTTTGAAGAGCTCAGTGCTCAGGGAGCGGGACTCCTTCAGAGATGCCTCCAGCTCTGCTTGGCTCTCCTCACACTTTGTCTTCCATTCGGCTAGCACCTGAAACACCGGGAGGGAAGGTGTCTCTGTTTATGAGCTTTCGTTCTCCATGCTTCGGACTAAATGTAACCATTCAGGTGAATGCTCTCACAGTTAGGGCTACATTTGGTGGCCTATCTTGCCTGGCTCCTTGTCTTGATTATTGGATGAACCAAGATTTTGTTCCATAAATTTACTCAAGATAATTAATCAGTAACAATTGCCATCTTTAAAAAGCAAACTGAGCCTTTGAGAAGGAATTAGCTGGGCATAAATGTCCTTTTCCTAATATGAAAATGGGCCTATAATTCTACATATGTTATTAAAATATTGGTTCAGATCAAGCTTATCTGCCATACTGAAAAGGGGGCTTCCAGAAAGCCTCCCAATGGGACCTAAGTTAGATTCCTACGTCAGCCACTGAGACAGAGTTCAGGGGAAGAAAAAATGTTTAGAGCTGACAACACTGTAGAAATTGGTTTGTCTCCATTAACAATGTTTGAAAAGGACCTCTACCCCCATCCCATTCCCATTCCATTTTACAGATGAGAAAACTACAACCCAGTGAAGTTCAGGGACTTGCCCAGGGTCACATTGCTGGTGGGGACAGAGACAGGTCTGGGAACCAGTCTGCTCCATGGCTTCTAGAAATAAGTTTATATTTATTCTGAAAGTGTGAACGACATGATATTCCGGTCTATTTCTCTCTCGTTTTTAACTGAACTCCCAATGTTCTCTTAATTCAAGATATTTTGAATGGCCCTTTCTGTGCATTATTTTGAATACTTCTTTTTGGAAAACAGGCTTTCCTGGAACTTCTCCCCCAAACGCACGCAGCCCCTTCGTTTTGACCAGTTGCCCCTGCTCAGGTGGCCTTGAGGCTGTGGCCCTTCCTGCCCCCTGCACTTGCTCACCGGCCTCAGTCTGAAGTCGAGACTTCTGTGTGGTCAGCTCACTCAGGCTCCTCTGAATTTCCTCATTCTTGCCCCTGGCCTCACTTAACTGATCCTCCAGAGTTCGGCATATCTTTTCCAGATTTGCCTAAAGGATGGAGAAGGGGGAGAAAGTCAGGCGGTGGTCTAGTTTGAATGACCGTGCCGATGTCCCTCTTATGGAGAACATGGGTCCCACCCACCCAAGCACCTTAGATTTCGACACGCTCTCCACGCTGCTGGAGAGATCGTCGATCTCCAGCTTGAACTCGCTTTTCTCCTTCTCCAGCTTCTGCTTGACCCTCTGCAGGTTGTCGATCTGCTCCCCGAGCTCGGCCACACTGTCCGCGTGCTTCTTCCTCAGGGTGGCAACCATGGCTTCGTGCTGCAGGGTGGCCTCCTCCAGGTCCCTGCGCAGTTTCAGGAACTCCGCCTCCCGCTTCTTGTTCAGCTCTATCTGGGTGGAGGTGACGCCACCCGCCTCCTCCAGCCGCTCGCTCAGCTCCTCCAGCTCTCGGGCATAGTCGCTGCGCTGTTTCTCTGTCTTGGCGCGGGTCGCCCTCTCCGCCTCAATCTCTTCTTCCAGCTCCTCAGTTCGAGCCTGCAGAGGACAGCCATTCACCCCACGGGCAGTCAGTTCCCCAGACTGACTCCAAATGTCAAGAACGGGCTTGTTTCCATTCCCACCAGACAAACTGATTCTTGGACTTTGCCCAGAGAAATATGAATATTGCTATTTTTTTTCATATGAATTCTTCCTGCACCAATATGGTCATTACCCCATACGATAACTAACCCAGGACATTTTTCATTCAACTAAATGTTGACCCCAAATACTTTAATTACGTACTTTATTGTAAGTTATGGGAACATTGCTTATTACTGCGTGTCAGCCTGGCAGAAAGGGAGCCCACTGAGGCAGGCATCCCACGGTCCTGCCCACTTGCTCTAAACGGCTTACGGCAGACAGCACCCAGGTCACTGTGCAAACCCCGCATGTGAAAGGGAAACCCCAAAGGCCTCCTACCTGCAACTCTTTGATTTTCTTCTGAAACTGCAGGCCCAGAGTCTGCTCATCTTCCACTTTGCTTTGTAGTTGACTATATTCAAAATCCTTTCTGTAAAGGGAAACGGAGAACACATGAAGACAAAATACTCAGTAATTTGCGCAATTGACACCAGCAGTTCTAAGGCCTACTTTTTGAGCCTTTCATCCAGCTGTTGCTTGTCATTCTCCAGATCTAATATGGACTCTTGGGCAAGCTTCAAGTCTCCTTCCAGCTTCCTTTTGCTCCTTTCCAGGTCTACCCGAAGCTTCTTTTCTTGTTCTAGGGAGCTTTCCAGCTGAAAAAGGGACCATTTCCTTTAGAGAACAAACACTCAGGGGCCCTTCCAACCCCGAAGTTCTAGGGCTCCCGATTAGCTCTGTTTACTTACGTCATCCACTTGCTGCTCCAGCTTACTCTTGATTTTGCTCAGAGAATTGACTTTGTCTTCTTCAGCTTGGAGGTCATCCAGGGTCTGCTGGTGGGCCTCTTGGAGGGCTTTCTTTTCCCTGGTTAACTTTGCAATTGTTTCATCTAACCCGGCCAGTTCCTCAGTGAGGTTTTTAACCTGAGAAGAAATCACAAGCAATTATAAGAAAAAATAAAGTTTAGTTTGCAATGACTACATCAAGCTGGAAAGACCCACAAGGATAGTACCTTGTTCTCCGTGGCATGCTTCTCCTTCTCAACCTTGGCCAGGGTCAGCTCAAGGTCATCAATGTCTTTCTTGAGTTCTGAACATTCATCCTCCAGTTTCCTCTTCTTGGCTGTCAGCTCAGCATTGATCTCTTCCTCATCCTCAGCTCTCTCCGTCACCTCTTTGATCTTGGCCTCAAGCTGGATTTTGGTTTTGATCAACTGGTCACATCTTTCCTCTGCATCAGCCAAGCCTTCAGCTTCCTTGAGTAAAAAAATCCAAATGTCAAGAACGGGCTTGTTTCCATTCCCACCAAACAAACTGATTCTTGGACTTTGCCCAGAGAAATATGAATATTGCTATTTTTTTTTCATATGAATTCTTCCTGCACCAATATGGTCATTACCCCATACGATAACTAACCCAGGACATTTTTCATTCAACTAAATGTTGACCCCAAATACTTTAATTACGTACTTTATTGTAAGTTATGGGAACATTGCTTATTACTGCGTGTCAGCCTGGCAGAAAGGGAGCCCACTGAGGCAGGCATCCCACGGTCCTGCCCACTTGCTCTAAACGGCTTACGGCAGACAGCATCCAGGTCACTGTGCAAACCCCACATGTGAAAGGGAAACCCCAAAGGCCTCCTACCTGCAACTCTTTGATTTTCTTCTGAAACTGCAGGCCCAGAGTCTGCTCATCTTCCACTTTGCTTTGTAGTTGACTATATTCAAAATCCTTTCTGTAAAGGGAAACGGAGAACACATGAAGACAAAATACTCAGTAATTTGCGCAATTGACACCAGCAGTTCTAAGGCCTACTTTTTGAGCCTTTCATCCAGCTGTTGCTTGTCATTCTCCAGATCTAATATGGACTCTTGGGCAAGCTTCAAGTCTCCTTCCAGCTTCCTTTTGCTCCTTTCCAGGTCTACCCGAAGCTTCTTTTCTTGTTCTAGGGAGCTTTCCAGCTGAAAAGGGACCATTTCCTTTAGAGAACAAACACTCAGGGGCCCTTCCAACCCCGAAGTTCTAGGGCTCCCGATTAGCTCTGTTTACTTACGTCATCCACTTGCTGCTCCAGCTTACTCTTGATTTTGCTCAGAGAATTGACTTTGTCTTCTTCAGCTTGGAGGTCATCCAGGGTCTGCTGGTGGGCCTCTTGGAGGGCTTTCTTTTCCCTGGTTAACTTTGCAATTGTTTCATCTAACCCGGCCAGTTCCTCAGTGAGGTTTTTAACCTGAGAAGAAATCACAAGCAATTATAAGAAAAAATAAAGTTTAGTTTGCAATGACTACATCAAGCTGGAAAGACCCACAAGGATAGTACCTTGTTCTCCGTGGCATGCTTCTCCTTCTCAACCTTGGCCAGGGTCAGCTCAAGGTCATCAATGTCTTTCTTGAGTTCTGAACATTCATCCTCCAGTTTCCTCTTCTTGGCTGTCAGCTCAGCATTGATCTCTTCCTCATCCTCAGCTCTCTCCGTCACCTCTTTGATCTTGGCCTCCAGCTGGAATTTGGCTTTGATCAGCTGATCACATCTTTCTTCAGCATCTAGCAAATTTTCACTTTCCTTTAAAAAAGAATCATAATTCCTTTTCATGAGATAAGGTTTGCAACATTCCAGTATTTTGTTATGTATGAAGTCCTTTATGAAGCACCCCAACTAAAAAGCAGAAATCCCCACCAGTAATCCAGTTTTCCTAAATAAGTAATCAAATCTAGGAGAGTTAAAAAAAAAATGCCTAAACACATACAGCTTGTACTTGGAGTTGTAGGTCATTCTTCTCTTGTACCAGAGTCACCAATTTTTCCTCCAGCTCCTTCCTTTTGGCCTCTGACTTGGCAAGTTCATCTTTGGTTTTCTGGAACTCTTCCTTCATGGTGGCCATCTCCTTCTCAGTCTCTGCACTCTTGAGGAGGGGCTTGATCTTGAAGAATAGTTTCATCCAGGGCCAATGCTTGACATTCATGAATGAACGAATGTTGTACTGGATGCAGAAGATGGACTCCCTAAAAACAAGATAGTGCTTACTCCCAAGAGAGACTCCCCCGTCCCCCAATGAGCCCATGTTTGAACAGAGACCCTGCTCGACCTCCTTTGCACCATCTTCTGGAATGCAGAAGATGGACTCCCTAAAAACAAGATAGTGCTTACTCCCAAGAGAGACTCCCCCTTCCCCCAATGAGCCCATGTTTGAACAGAGACCCTGCTCGACCTCCTTTGCACCATCTTCTGGAATTCCACACGCATGAGAAACCCTCTGCACACAGCTTGCGTCCGGGTGATCAGTTTGGCCAGGCGGTCATCCCGCATCTCTTCCAAGGTTCCCAGCAAGCCAGCCTTGAAGAACACCTTAGAGGGGAGAAGCAGGACCCAAGTGAGTTCCCTGGAGAAGTCGTGTTAAGAGGACGAAAAGCCCAGCCTCTGTCAGAATTGATGCATTACCTTGGTGTGTCCAAACTTGTATTGAGTGTGGTCAATATCGATTGATGCCAGAAGTTTCTCACAGGCTTTTTTGCTGTCAATGAATTGTCCCTCAGGGATTGCACTGGCATTGAGCACTCGGTATCTGCCATTGTAGACATGGAAATAATCACAGACTGTTGGCAAAGACATAAACCTTGGAGACCATCGAGTTCAGGCCTCTCTTCCTATAGGCAAGAAAGCTGAGGTCCCAAGAGGTCAAGAAGTTTCCCCTCAGTCACACTGCTGGATGGTGGCCTGGAACTGAGGCCTCCTGACTCTCAGGCCATGGCTTTTCTGCCATTTTGTATATTGGATAAGTTCCAAAGAAAAACACAGAAGAAACAAGTACGTATGATTTGGCAAAGTGGAAGATTATTTTACATGGAAGTCCATAAGCATTTTTCTGAAATGGGTCTTTTCATACCAATATTTCTTCCTCTCAAATTTCAGTATGTGTACATCTCATCAAGAAGCATATAGAACATTTTTATTACCCACCTTTGTTTAAAATCCCCATAAAGAATCCTATTTGGGAATCCTTTCCTGCAGATGCGGATGCCCTCCAGGACACCGTTACACCGCAGCTGATGGAGGACCAGGGTATGTTCCATAGCCCCTGGGAGCAGAAGCAAGACACATCAGCTTCACGCAGAATTTCTTTAAAAACCCCGCAGCATTTGGGGAGCCAGCAGGTATCTCACCTGGGGTTTTGGTTTCGTTGGGAATTATACAGCGCACAAAATGAGGGTGAGTCGTTCTTAAATTTGACATCAGCTTGTTCAGGTTTTCCTAAAAGAAAAAGATTAAATTTGACAGCCTACTATAGGCTTTTACAAAAGCAGAGAGACATCGTAATGGAAGATAAGACATATGTTTTAAATGTATCATGAATTCTAAAGAATAGTCAAATTATTTAACTCTCTCTTTTCACAGTGCTGTGGCTGGAGGTACAGGCAAATAACTTCTATAATAGTCTTTTGCCTCCCTGTGAGCCAGAGGCTTGCCAAGTACAAAATGCTTTCTGAAATCAACTCAGGAGTTGTATCTGACTCCACTGGGACTGTGAGGTGCTATTGCTGGTTTCCTTCAGGCAAACTGGAGAGTTTGTACTGAAAGCTCAGCTCCCAGGCCAGCCAAACCAGCTAGTCGCTGTACAAAATGAAAATAAAATTTTATCCCACATCTGTTAGACCTCATGTATACATTATCATACTGTCACTAGACCTCATTAAGTGACAGTAGTCGGATTAAGACATTACTATTCTTGAATAAATCATGTTTAGAATCTCTACATTGATCATTTTGATATGACTTAAGCCAATTATAAGCAAATAAACTTGTATTTTTCTTACCCTGAAAAGGGCAGAGACAGTCTGGAAGGAAGAACCCTTCTTCTTGGCAACCTTCTTCTTTCCACTGTCAGCTGAAAGAAATAAATGGCGACATGTTCTGTTAGCAGATCTATAAGATTTTTTTGGTCCTATGGGACAAATGGAGGGGGATCATCACAGGAACACTAGGCCCTCCTGGTATTTGGAGTCTGTTACCATCTGCTGTGCAAATGGCGACATGTTCTGTTAGCAGATCTATAAGATTTTTTTGGTCCTATGGGACAAATGGGGGGGGATCATCACAGGAACACTAGGCCCTCCTGGTATTTGGAGTCTGTTACCATCTGCTGTGGCAAAGGTGGCGTAGAGGTGTGCCAGGAGCCTGTTGGAGGACTTCTGGTACAGACCAACGACAGTCTCATTCAGAGGGTCCTTGTTTTTCTCCAGCCAGCCTGAGACACTGTAGTCCACAGTGCCCGCATAGTGGATCAGGGAGAAGTGGGCCTCGGCTCTGCCTTTGACCACCTTGGGCTTCTGGAAGTTGCTGGACTTGCCCAGGTGCTGGTCATACAGCTTGTTCTTGAAGGAGGTGTCTGTTGCCTTGGGGAACATGCACTCCTCTTCCAGGATGGAGAAGATGCCCATAGGCTGGATTTAAGGCAAGGCAAAATGCATGTGGTAAGCATGAGCTGCTGCAGTAACAAGCAGCAGAGTGTGTGGGAAGAGGTCACTGAGTGGATGGAATGGGGCACCTTCTCGATGAGCTCAATGCAGGCAGCCAGGTCCATCCCGAAGTCGATGAACGTCCACTCGATGCCTTCCTTCTTGTACTCCTCCTGCTCCAGCACGAACATGTGGTGGTTGAAAAACTGTTGCAGTTTCTCGTTGGTGAAGTTGATGCACAGCTGCTCCAGGCTGTTATACTAGCACCAAAATATAATGTTCATGTGAAAATTTAGACTTCTTTCAAAATCAAAGACCCATCAACATTCCTCCTCATTGCCTAAAGCTCTCTCCACCTCATTTATGCTTTCAGATATGGTCACGTTCTTAAAGGCTGGGCTCAGATCACGTCTCCTCCTTGGAGTCTTCCCAAACTTTCAACTAGAAGGTATTTCTGAGTTCCCAGGATCTGGGCATCTCTTGGGCACTTTATTTTATAGTTTACAGGCTTATATTTCTTTCACTTGCATGTCTTGTACCTGGTAGACACTAAATAAATGCTTCAATGAATGGCTATATGCTTCTAACACAAAACCAGTAGGATATTTATGTAAAATATTGCATGATCGACTTATCAAATTCTTTGTATCTTTTTTCTGGCTCTCCCTAAATCAGTAATTGCATTTGATTTTTGATTTTTTTTTTCTTTTATCCATTCAATGATGTCCTTTAAAATTCCACATGATCAAAGTTTTCCCCTCTTTTAAAATAATACAAATCCTCCCAACATGGTATTTCTCTTCTACCTGATCCTTTTTCCTTCTAGCTTTCCTGTAAGGTGACCACCTTGATATCTTCCTTTAGGATCACGAAAACCAATCCTCCCATACAAAGCCATAGGAAAATATGAATATAGTAACTCAAACCTCAAAGATTTCAAAGCCTGCAATGTCCAAAACACCAATGAAGTGTTGTCTTGGTAGCTTCGTATCCAGTTGCTGGTTAATGCGAGTGACCATCCACAAGAACAACTTTTCATAAACTGATTTTGAAAGGGCGTTCACAGCATGGTGAACCTGTTAGAGAAAAGATCAGCTAATACGAGTACGAAGGCAGTGGCCATCAGGGACCCGCATTCCTTCCTGGCCTGGAAGTAGCTGCTTACCTGATCCACAGTTTGACCTTTGGTAACGTACTCGTTCCCAACCTTCACTCTGGGGAAGCACAGAGCTTTCAGGAGGTCTGAGGAGTTCAGGCCCATCAGATAAGCTGTTTTGTCGGCCACTGGCAAGAAAGGGAAGGTGATGCTTGACAGAGTAGAGGAGCTACTTTGAAACTCATCCAGACGTTTCAAGGCTTGGCTGAGTTTGTCTTGCCCCTACTGCTAAACTGCTCATCTGTGGCCAATGGAAGCCAAGGCACTCAGAGAATATGACAGATTTTATGAAGAGGCAGGACTGGGTTCCAGAAAGCCCTGGTCACTTCTCATTGTGTATGAAACAGGACCATTCTAGTGATTCAGCAAAAATGGGTGGTCATGGAGCCTAGAGGCATCTGAGGCCCAGAAACATCTATTCACCTCTTTAGGTGGAAGAAGCATCAAACACTTTCAAAAGAGGCACCAATGATCTCAGGTGAACAACCACCCAGCTCTGGCTTACGGCCTGTGGCGGTGATTTTGTACCTTCGGTGCCGTCCGGCTCGGCCTGCTCCTCTCGCTGCTTCTGCTTGAACTTCATGTTCCCGTAATGCAGCACAGCCCCCGTCAGCTTGTAGAGTCCAGACTTCTCTTCTGGGGTGAAGCCCAGGATGTCAATGGCACTCTGGTATTGAAAGAACAGCCCGTCAATCAGTTGACCCCGTGATGGGAGAGGGACACCCCACACCTTCTATTGGCTCCACTTACATCTGTAGCCAACAGCTCCTCAGCATCGTCAATGCTGGCCACCAGGATTTCACCCTGGCTGATGAACGGGTAGTCATAAGGGTTGGTTGTAATAAGCAGCAGCTCTGAAATGGTGAACCGTTTGAGGGGGTCACATGGATGCAAAGGAAACATCCACCCAGTGGATTTGAGCCCCCACATCCTGAGCTAGGACTTTACTGCTTGAAGCCCAAATTGAATTTAGAGTTAGAAATCTCTTTCAGATTTCTAGTACGTGGGTTGTGACTAAAAATATAGTCCAGGGAAGACTTTGCAGTCTCCCATGTCATGAAGATTAAGAACCCGAGACAGAACATTTAAATTCTCTTGCTTTGCATGGGAATAGTGCATGTCAGTGTGGGCTGGGGAGAGTTAACAGGAAAAACTGGCTGAGCATGGGTCAGGACAAGAGCCCACATTAGGGGCAAGCACAGGTTGTTTGGTAAAATCATAACCTTTTCTAAAATCTGTTGAAAAGCTGCAGCCTGTTTCCAGCCTGGAGACCAGGAGGCTGAGCAAAGACGTTCAAAGAGCAAAGAAGACTGTGTGCACAGAGGCCTCTGTTAGGTACGGGCCAGGGGCAGGGTGGCTCTCCACAGCTGGCTGTTCAGTGTTTTGTGATACTGCAGGTTGGTTTCTGTGTCAGAGCACAAGGGGGCACTAAAAGACCATTCAATCAGACATTCAGAAGGTTTTGATAAACCAGCGCTGAATTCAGTGGTGGTTTAATCCTGTTACCGTTCATTTGATTAGGTTTTACAAACTGGCAGGTCACTGCCAAAATAGCCACATCCCATTGTTAAAATAAACTTCCTCCACTGGCTGTCGAGTCATCTATGTATAGGTGTAACTCTTCTTGGTCTAGTGATCTAAGAGCTGAAATGCCTAAGAGACCAACCCTACCGGTGACTTCCTCACCTATGAGCTCAGGCTTCTTGTTGGAAAGAATTTGGTAGAAGATGTGGTAGCTTCTCTCAGCCTTCAGCTGAAAGGTGACTCTTGATTTTTCCAGCAGATCTAGAACACAAACGCAGGACTGTTCTCCAAACTGTTCCCCATCACTCTGAGACATCATTTCATCCTAGTGGAACTACTTACAAGTTTCAATATCTGCAGAGGCCAGCTTCCCAGTGGTCCCAAAGTGGATTCGGATGAATTTGCCCTGTACGAGGGAAAGGGGAGACCTGAGTCTACCCTGGCTCCAATTGTTCCTACTAGTCTCTTGGATAATGGGAATGGGAGCCATTTTTCCCTATAGCTTGAAATTAAGTATGTCCTCCCTCCTTTCTTCTTCCAGTTTGATGTGCCTCCTTTTTCCCCATTCCCTTTATTCTGTGCCTCCCCTCCCCCATATCTAGTCAAGGAAGCAACTAGAGTGATTTCTGTTAGACGTAAATCAAACTGTATCGCTTTCCTGCTTACAGAATCCTTCAGTAACTTCCTGTTGTACTTGGAATAAAAATGCAAACTCCTTTCCACAGTCTGTATCCTCCTGCACGACCAGGTCTCCATCTCCCTTTTCTGCCTCATCTCATGGGGCCAACCCTTGCCCACCCTCCCCAGCCACGTGGACCGTCTTTAGGTCCTTGACTCCACCAGGCGCCTCCCCACCTCGGGGCTGCCCACTCGCTCCTGCCTTTGTCCTTCCTCCTTGCTGCTGTTTCAAGTCTGCTTCCTCCTCACCCTGCGGATCTCTGATGAGGTGCCAGCCCCCAGTCTCTAAGGGAGACCTGGCCACCAGTTCCTCTATCACATGCCCTGTTTACTGAACTTCACACGAATGTGTCTTATCTGAAATTGTCTTTGTCTTGTTCTTTCATTGTCTGTCCCCACCGGTCTGTGAACTCCCTGAGGACCAGCCTTTTGCCTACCTTGTAGGCTACAAAGAAAATCCATCTTAACCAATCTCAGACTCACAAAGCGGGAGGAGTTGTCATTCCTCACAGTCTTGGCATTTCCGAAGGCCTCCAGGAGAGGGTTGGCACTGATGATTTGATCTTCAAGAGTCCCCTAATGCAAGGAATCGAGGGAGGAAGAAAAAGCATTTTTTAAAACCACAAATTGACAAAAATTGCTCATTAGTTCTGTCACTGCTGCCTGCCCCTGGCAGCTTCTGGCAGGGCCTGTCCCTCCCTCTCTGACTTTCCAATTTGAGGATCAACCAAATCAGCAGCATGTCTTCCTCAAAACACTTTTGCCATTTTGTTATATTTGCCCAAAGTCGGGTTAACATTGACTTAACATTCCTTTAACACTCAATTCCTTGATTCTTGTTAGGTTGTTTATATTCATTTAGTACTGTCATAACATGTTTCAAAAGACAAGTGTATGCTACGATTCTGTCAAGTTGGTGTATGTGATTCTGCCATAAAAGGACAAGCTCTCTGAGCTAACCACAAATTGACCTTTCTTAGTTAATCTTAGAGACGTATCGTCTAAGAAATCGCAGGATCTGGTCCTGTAAGATCAACCACTGTGTTGTCTAAGATGACTGGCTGTCCTTCAAGATTTTAAATCCTACTGCTCTCCTCTCCTTCCCTGAAGAGGGCGGAATGTGACAACATTCAGCCTCTTCATTCTGAAGACAAAGGTTAGAAGTGGAAGCAAAGCAAGCTTTTGTCCCCTCCATACCTTCATTTTGGAATCCTTCTTCTTGGCGAGGTCTCCAGTAGCTGCAATTGTTGCAAAGTACTGGATGACCCGTTTGGTGTTCACAGTCTTTCCTGCTCCGGATTCTCCGCTATTTGGAGTGATCAAAAGAGAGAGAAGAAGAAACAAGTCCTGTTAGTATAAACAGATGTCACACAGAGGCCTGGACATAGTGACACACGCCTACCAAATGAATGTGAGAGACAACTCAGAGGGGCAGAGGCCAGGGAGGCCACTTGCTTAGTTGACCCAAGATGGGTAATTCCAGTTTTCTGAGGTCTTACACACACCGACCTTCTTGCCCATCCCCAAATCTACCTTTTCATCATACACTTGGCTCCAAACACTTTCTAAGAAGAGAGCAAAGTGCACCTTTGGCCACAGCTATGAAACCACTCTGTGCCTTGGATACTTACGTGATCAGAATGGACTGGTTTTCACGATCTGCCAAAGGAAACTTTTCTAAGAAGAGAGCAAAGTGCACCTTTGGCCACAGCTATGAAACCATTCTGTGCCTTGGATACTTACGTGATCAGAATGGACTGGTTTTCACGATCTGCCAAAGGAAACAATAGAGTTCATGGCAGTATAAAAAGAGCCCCCCACATCCACCCCATCTTGACAGCAGTCATAGTAAAATTGCACAATCCCTCTTCCCTCTAATTGTTTGTTTAGTCCTATGTGGGAGTTCGAAGAGCCTCCTTCTTAGGAATGAGACTTGGAGAGGTGAAGCCCCTGCTGAAAACCAGTGGCTTCTCATCACCTTAGGCTGAACCATATAAAATTGCCAATCTCTGTTTTTGACCCACAAAAATGTCAGTTTCATATGGTTTCACCAACACTTGCATTAAAACCAAACTCCTCCCCATGGCCTACAAGGCCCTAAATGATCTGGCTCCTTCTGCCTCTTTAAGCTCCTTTCACTCCTCTCCCTTGCGCTGGACACCAGATGGGGCAGGGCCAGGACCAAGGGACAGCACTCGCGAGCCTGGTCTAGTGCCTGCTCCATACATACTCCATGCTTCCTTCTTGGAAGCTCACCAGTCAGCATGAACTGATAGGCGTTGTCGGAGATGGAGAAGATGTGGGGCGGGGCCTCCTGGCGCTTTTTGCCTCGGTAGCCATTCACCACCTCGGGGTTGTACACCGGCAGCCACTTGTAGGGGTTGACAGTGACACAGAAGAGGCCCGAGTAGGTCTGTGGGAGGAAAAAAAAATATATGTATATATGTGTGTGTGTGTGTACATCAAACCTCTTGCCTTCATTATTATCTCCTGTTTTCTTATGGTAAAGTTGTAAATGAGGTCAGATAGATTTCTATTTACAGACAAGGCAACTGAGACTCAAAGAGAAGAGTAGCTGAACCCCCTGCAGCTAGCGAGTGACAATGACAGGACCCAAGTCTCAGCCCCATCTTTCCTGCTTTCCAGGCTGGCTCGACCTCCTCCACGTCTTCTGTCTTCCAACCCCTCTTCTTCCTGCCCCATTCATCTCTGTTTTCTCATCCTCTATTGTTCCCTTCCCTTCCTTCCTTCCTTTCTCTCCTTCCCTCCTTCCTCCTTTCCTTTCTTTCCTTCCTTCCTCCCTCCCTCCCTCCCTCCCTCCCTCCCTTCCTTCCTTCCTTCCTTCCT